TCTCATAATATAAGTGACATAAAGGATAGGGGAGTCAGCACATAGACTTGCCTTATCTCACAATTAGGGGTGCCAAACGGTTCGGATATATCCGAACCGATCCGCATCCGTATCCGAACGGATGCGGATATGATAGACTAGTTTTGAAACCGGGCGGATACGGTAACGGATACGGATATGGTTTTGGATTTTTTTCGGATACGGATTCGGTAACGGATATGAGGGTTGCGGATACGGATATCCGCAATATAATACTGATTCGGGTGTCGGGTCTCAAAATTACAATTACAAACCCGTAACCGCTAACCCAAACCTCTTAACCCTAGCCCCCATTCATTTCCTGAGTCCAGCGGCGCCCATCCATTTCCGTCTCCAGCCCCCATTCAATTTTCCAGCCTCCGTTCGTCATCTTCGCCCCGCGCCGTTCGACGTCCAGCGGATCCTCGTCCTCGTCCTCGTCCAGCGTTCGTCTTCACAGATCGTCTTCTTTCATCGTTCGTCTTCACCGATCGTTCTCCAGCGTTCCTCTTCACCGATCGTATGTTGTTTATTATATGTCACATATTTTCTTCCTATTAGTCTGGATGATGACAAAAGAGTTTTACTTGTACATTGAATTTATTATTTTCTTTATCAAGATGTATATGTGTCTACCTGTGATTAGAGAATTCGTTTCTTGATGTTGTTGTATTTTTCTTTACCGGGACAGGTATTGACTTGATTCCTCACGAGAAGTTTTCTTTTGCAAAGATATGGCTCTTGGCAGCTCAATTTGAGTGAGACGGAAAAATGTCAGGGATGCTCGCCTAATCTTGGATGATTATAGTTTTATATGGTGTGCAAGTGCTATTCCCTTTCCATATTAGAGATATCCTAATGCCATGACATTGCTAACACAATTAAATTCTTTCATTGGCGACATCTATTTAAGAAGTACATTGAAATCGAACTTGCGCTTGGTGAAATTGATAGTTGCAGAATTCTATATGGGGAGTATTAGGAGTGGGCTCCAGCAAATTGCTATGCTTGGACCAAGTATGCTGAGTTGGAGAGATCACTAAATGAAAAGGAGCGTGCTCGGGGTATACACTTGAGCTTGCTGTTGCTCAGCCCGCACTTGACATTGCAGAGTCGTTGTGGAAGGTATGCATTTTTTTCTTAGCACATTTGCTCCTTATTTGCTATTGCATTCTATTTCCTGGTAATGCATGTACGATTGAGAATAGCTGTCATCTATCCGGCCACAGAGAAAAATTGTAACATTAAGTAGAGCCATAAAAGAACCTAATCCATTGTAAAATTAAAATCTTAAAAGATGTCATATGTTTCGTCCAAAGGTATGCTTGTACATTTCATCATCCAACTACCTTTTCGTACATTTAAACATTTGCGGGAATCAAAATGTGTCCATCCAGTGTTTAGAGCAGAGGCATAGGAAGAACCTAATATACATCATCAAGAGGGAGCCCCATTCCTATAGATAGCTTTAACTAATTCATTTACACCACAGCTATATTTCACCTAGATGTGGTAACTCATGTTCCATGTCAAAAAGAAAGGACTTGGTATCTGCTTGGTTTTATCTTTAGTCCTCACTTGGTTTTAACATTTTGTCATATATGTGTGTGCGGTTTGCTCTTGTAATGGTTTTTGGTGATTTAGTTAGTAAGGATGATGTTCTTGTTGTGTCATGGTTGTCTTGTGAAATGTTTGTGTCATGGGTTGTGCTACTGAAGGTTTTGGATGAACATTATATGTCTAATAGTAATAGATTTGTGCTCAATTTCAGTAATTCTAATTATATGTGAATATCCGTTTGTATCCGTGATCATATCCGATCCGATTCTCAAATATCCGATCCGTATCCGTTTCCGATAAGTGCGGATATGGTTAAAGTTTTTTCTTACCGAGAATGATCCGTATCCGTATCCGTATCCGTTTATAAAAAGCGGATATGGATATGGTAAGTGCGATATCCGAGCCGTATCCGCTCCGATAACACCCCTACTCACAATAGCACTATGCACCAAGTGCTCAATGTCTCTCAGCCCAAGCTGCAGAAAGTCCAACAATAACTAAATGATATCTTAACAAGTGCTGCTGCACTCTTCTTAACCATATGGAACAAAACACTTCTTAACATTCTTTTTTCTTTTTAGTAAACTACTAGCAGTATAAAATGTCTATGCCAATAGGTGTAACATAAAAATTCAACGGCACCATTAAAAGACAGCTCTTCACTTAGAGCATGTCTGGAAACTCACTTATTTTCAGTTATAATTGTGCTATTTGGAGAAATCTTTTAAAAAGACATTTTTTAAGTTTTATTAGAAAAATCGACCCTTTTTCATTTAGTTAGCAAAATCCACATTTTGGTCAACGTCATAACGGCTGGCCAAAATAAATTCGATTTTGCAAAATAGAGTTTTTAAAATACACGGGACTACTAATCTCATGTACGTAGTAGTCCCTAATCACAGGACTACTAGCCCCGTGTATAATTAAAGATCTAATTAATCAGTGATTAGTGGCTACCAAATACACGGGACTAGCATTCACTTGTATTTTAAAAACTCTATTTTGCAAAATCGACCTCCTTTTGACAAGCCATGTTGACATGACGAAAAGAGGTCGATTTTTCTAATTAAATGAAAAGGGCTCGATTTGGCTAATAAAATTTAAAAAAGTGTATTTTAAAAAAAATTCACCGTGTTTTTTTTTCCCTTACAAAGGTCCACGGTCATGTTTAATACATATAACTAACTTATTTTCTCTTTATATAAGTAGGAAAAAAGTAAGTTGGGGTATTCCAACTTATTTGTTTGGCATTGTAAGTAAGCTTACCTATTGTTATAAGGTCGAACAAAATAAAGTTTGTCAAACATGGCCTTAATCAGCCATTACTTTGGGTGCTCCCAACTCTCTGACAGTCCTAACGGCCAACTTCAGAGGGTTTTCAAAGGGAGCATCTTTCTTCTTCAGCAAGACTTGTAATCCAAAAAATTCAAAGAAATTCTAAAGACACCCTCAAAATTTCTTCCTATTTCTTCTGGGGTTTCAAACACAAACTTGAGCCATCAAATCATGCCAAGAAAACGCGATAAAAGAGTCATACAAATGTAACTCTCTTATATTTATAAGATTATTCCATCGAAGTGCACATGATAGTCAATCAATATACTGCTTTAACCAGAGAAATTCAGCTATTCGCTATCCAGACCTAAAAAGATTGCAACTTTAGGAACTAAAAAAAAAAACCTTAAATTTAAAAGAAATTAAGGAAGAAGGGGAGCAAACCGAGGGGGTGCTCGAGCCGGAACGAACTATTAGCCATGAATCCCTGATACACGGAGAGAAACGAAACCAACTGATCAGTTCAAAACAATTTAAAAAGAATCGATCAAGCAAAGCAAAGAAAGAAATAGAGAAGACGTACTGATTTCAATCAACTAATAAATTCGATCAATTGATTACAAAATTCTCAACTTTTTTTTAAGGGTACATATATATAGAGCAGAGAGATAGAGGGGGGAGTTCCCGAGGCCCGCGAGAAAACGGAGAAATTGGGCTCACACAACCCGTCTCATAATTTCACAAAGCCCCCTTAACTTTTTGAATTAGTAACCAAACAACCTCCTGAACTTCATAAAACCCTGAAATTTTGCTTTAGTTTCATAGAACCCCCTGAACTTTAGGGGTCGTTGCGCATACCTCTAAACTTTGTTTATCTCACTTAACCCTCCTGAACTATTGGAGCTGTCTCACAAAACACCCTGAACTTTGCTTTATCTCTAGACCCCTACCTGTAATTTGCAAAATATTAAAATTTTCTTGAGGAAAGAAACACAAATTTTTGGGGAAGGAGTATGATGCATGTAAATGAGAAGTGATAGAATTTGATTTTTTTTTCACTCAAAGACATTTTAGTTGTTTGCAAATTACATACAAGGGGTTATGTGAAATAAGATAAAGTTTAGGTGGTCATGTGAGATAAACAATATGTAGGAGGTTATGTGCAACGAACCCCAAAGTTCAGGGGGGTTTCGTGAAATTAACTCTTTTTGAGAACTTTATCACTTGTGAGGATATAGAGAAAGGTAAAATTTATTTTATGAGAACTTGCATTAGTTAATGGGGTTCTAATATAATCTGAAAGTACATGGGTTCTTATAATAAAGATGTCAGTTTTAGTTACAGACAGTTTTTCTGTTAAAAAAACTGTTGTGCACATTTACTAATTGTGCATGTTTCTTTACTTGAGAGTTGAGTTGTATAAATAAGAGATTGCAAAGTCAGTGAATGGATTATGAATAAAATTAGAACCGTTCTCTTCAACTCTCAATCTTCTCCTCGACTCTCAATCTCTGACTCTCTTGGAACTCTTCTTAAAATAGTTTCAGGCTCATCATGGCCAGAGACAACACCAAAAGAATCAATTAAGGTTTCGGAACCTCACAGATATGATGATGATTCTCTATTAAAACTTTACTAAATTTTATTCATTTTTTAATGTTTTCTATTTTCTATTTTGTTTTTTTAAGGAAATAAATATTGGTTTTTTAGGTAACAATATATTGTAGATTCTTTTTGAAGTAGTTTGATATATTGAGAAATAATTATTTATCAAAGAAGAATTGTTTACAAGTTTTGAAAGCGGACTGCCTATAGCAACCTAAGATGGTAAAAATCAAATCCTATTGGGGTTGGTTACAAATCTTTTACTTTATAAAGGATCTTGTCAATTTTCAGAAAGGATTAGCGGCGCAACTTGTTGCCCGTTTGTCATCATCACATGTATAATATTTTCTATTTATTTGTTGCAAGTTTAAAAACTTTTTATGGGTTTCTTTTAATTCTACATGCTTAAATGACCGGCGTCATCTTTTCACTCCTTTTTCTCTACCCTCTAACTTGGTAAAAAAGTTTTATGCTCATATGAGTTTAAAGATTATCCTTGATGAAGTTTCCGAATGATAGAAGTTTTCGAAGGATAATAAATCCGGGTAAAGATGAAATAAAATTTAACAGGGTAAAGATGGGATAATTTTAACGTTACCTTATATTCATTGGATAACTACCTTTGGTAAGTTATTGGGATGCTGTCTTTAAAGTTATAACTAGTAATTTTGTATACGTATATCAAATTTTTTTATGTGACATATACTAAAATTATAAATGCAACTAATGTTGCCTCACATATGAAAGATACTTTATATTGATAAGCTATCTAGGAGTAATACATTAATATAAATTATCATCAAATCCTTTGTATGGATACTTTTCTATTTATTGGTTTTTAAATTCCGGTATTTCGTTAGTTGCCAAAGTGTTAAATGTGCATATTTTATTGTAGGAAACGGATTTTTTTTATTGTAATAAAGTATTTGTTAGCTGCAACTGTAAATAGGTTACAATTTATTATGAGCTGAAGTTCAGTACTGTTGAAATCTAAAAGACATTTTGTTGAAATCTAAAAGACAAAATGTATGTGGACATTACTTTGTATGTGGACTATTAACTTGATATCATTTTATCTTCCATCATGTATGTATAAATTGTACGATGTATGAAAATGGAATTGATGAAGAAATATTACAATTTCTCTTCTTCTCTTGTTTCTTGTCTCTTATTTTATTTCTTTAGTATATTACAACACGTTATCAGCACGACTAGCTCTAGCCGATTCGTGATTATCAGTTCGTAGTAATAGATTTTTAGGTGTACATCTTCTGCAAGGTAATAATACATTCGGCCTTTATCTATTTACATAGTATCAAGCTTTCCGTCGAATGATTATGATTATGTCTAGTATGAATCTTGTCATCTCATTTATTTGAATTCTTCAAAAAAAAAAAAAAACAATTTTGCATGCAGCTGCTAAACACACCTTTAGCATGTAGATCCGTGATCTTTAAGTTCTTATGCACATGATGCTCAGTCATAACATAGCCTGGAAGTCTTAACAGAAAATACAAAGAAACTAAGACAAATGGTTATTTCCGATTACACAAAACAATAAATAAATGCAGAATCAGATTCTCAAATACATCATTATTCACTTGGAGAGAAAGATATTACATAATACAGTAATTGAATACAAGCAGAATTTATGTTTCTCTCTCTCTTTGTATTTATCTAACTGTTATGAGATCAAATAAGTTACACAAGATATAAAGGACATATTTCACAGTTATCCTTCTTTTTGATTGATGCATATCATATGATTATTTTGTTTACAATTTCCATCGAGATCAAATAGCTACTTGTTTATACGTTGTGCTAGTTACTTGTCCTTTTATGTAGCTATTGTATCGTTGCTTATTTCGATAGCATGCTGCAAATTTTACAACACTCTTCTTTTAGACTGTTTGGTATTTAGAGGCTTGCTCTTTAGTTGTATGGACCTAAATTGATCATCAATAAGATAAAGTTTATCCATTTAGGTTACATCCCTGTTATTATCCACTTATCTTTCCGAGAAGGACATAAACTTGGTTAGGTTGCTAGAGAGAGAAATACCAACAACAAAAACAAAACCTTTATCCTAAATTTTTGGTGAAATTTGTGGAGGGATGATTCAAGAAAAATAAAACTGAGGTATGAAATACACTAGCATATTTTTCTTTATTCCTTCATTAAGGTGTCTGGGTTATTATACGAGTAAAGCATATATTTATTTGGTTTTTTGAAAGCTTTAAGTGATTTTTGTTGTGCTTAACCTGTAAGAAAATTCTATCTTAGTCCCTAGGATCATGATATATGCATATTATTGCTTATTTCTTTCCCAATTAAGTGAGAGTCATTTGATGAATCTATGTGAAAAGAGTTGAGGGTCCATAGCATCAATCATGAAAAATTGTCATAATATATCAATTTGATGCTTTTGCTTTAAATATTCTATTTGCTTGCTTGAAGTAAAATCTAAGCCTCATGAAAAACTTGAAATTAAGTTGTGGGTTTTTAAAGCTCATGTTGGCGTCCATAAGTGGTCTATTTTTTTATTGCTAATTGCACTGATTCTTCTTCTTCACTAAAATTATGCAATATTAGTTTCTATCCAAAATTGCCTTGGTAGTGTTTTGAATCTGGTAACATTGAGTTTAGAAGAAAGGATAGCACAAACTAGTTATGCCTTTGTTTAATTTCTACTTGCTTGAGTTTGTAATGGTCATTGATCGTCCGAGCATTAAAAATTTTTGTGTGAATTTTAATATCAGACTAGTTTTCCAGAAGCAAACATTTGATTATGAAGATCTTTAGAAAAAAGAGCTTGATGATTTTGGTGATTATGTGTGATCTTATTAAAATGTGAATATTTCTAATTTCTCATGCACTAATCTTTCGTCCCCATGATTAGTGCACTGTGATATATTATAGTAATTATTACTTGTCTTTGGCCTCGAATGTTCATTTTTACTGGACACCCTTGTGATTTTTGCACGATTATATCTCTTGATTCTTTAAGTATCTTTGCCCAGAAGGCAAACACTTTAAATTTTCTCTCTATCAATTAAGACGTAAAAAATTAATGCCTCACTGAAAAAGTACTCACTTTCTAGGCAATTCCTGAAGGATCGCTTTGATCTATAGAAGCCAATAATCTTTCTTCAAACGTAACTGGCTGACTGAATAAGAACTTTTTGGATTTCAAATACATGACTAAATATGATTCAACCATGTGCCATATTGTCTAGCGGGTGAAGCTCGCAGAATTGATCAAAAAAAATTTCCCATTCCATGCAAGTAGTATTGTACTCTAGTAACAGTACATGACCAAAAATTATGCCAAGCATTCTGCTTTGATATCTACATTTAGAGTTGTAGATAATCATAACAAATTGTTGATGAGAAACCACAATGTTAGACTAGTTGGCTTACGAGTTATGTTTGGAGCACATGCTACAATTCAGAAAATTACTTATATGCGTGGACAAGTGGGAGGCTATTGTGACGCCCCTGTTTTCACACTTGGCTGCAGTTCAAGGTGAACCCAGAGATGTCAAACCTGTCATGCACCTCCACTGTGCATCAACATGTTTCACCAATCACAATAATATCCTCTAGTGGAAACCAATATAAATGAAGGTACAAAACAGGCAAATAAGGGAAATAAATACTATAGACATGATACAGAAAGATATATCTCGTAAATGAAATCATGTCCCAAATAAATTAAACTGGAATACAACTGATATACATATGGAGTCTAAAATAACATGATATGTCTCAACATGAATCGACTAGAAATCGTACTAAGGAATATTGCCTTAACAATATGAGTACAAACTCAAATGACTGAATGGAAACATAAGACCACTGTGGAGTCCAAACTAGTAAAAATACGTGACGGCGACTATGCAAGAACTCCGTCACCCTGCGACTCTCCGATGCTCTGAGCCGCCTGAAAGTTAAAATAAAAGAAAAATAACAACAACAAGAGCGTCAGAGCGCTACAGCAAGTTCACCTCCATCCGCCCCCAGGGGAAGGGCTGCTAGATGATGAAGTGGAGTGTGACGCCCCTGTTTTCACACTTGGCTGCAGTCCAAGGT